GGTGGACGACCCCGTCGGTCAAGAACCGGTTCTCCCCCAAACTCTTCTGGCTTGGTTCCCTAGGGCCGGTCGTAACACAGTGCAAGACATTCCGTTTACCGGGCACAGGTTCGCCCAAATAAACAATTTATTATTTGAGCCGCTGTCTGCTTCATATGTCCACAACAAGACTCCGTGACAATAATTATAGACTGCACATAGTGGATTTCAATCTTCCTACTTTTGCGCAGTTGAATGCTATCTATATACTGAATGAAACCAAACAAAATAAAATCATGTGTTTTTGCTTTGTCAATAACGATTTTCTTGTTAGCATGGAAGTATGGAAGCCCAAAAACATTGATGAGAGGTTTACTTCCTGTAGCAAGTGCAAATGTTCTTCTCTTGAAAGAGCATTTGTTATCTGTCTGCTGCTGTCACTCAAAGTTGTATGCCGGGTCGAGAATGAAAACTTGAACACTATGGTATGTCTCAGCAGTGCACTGCCGTTACTGATAGAAACGTAGCCTTAGGGATTGCCTCCTGGACACCAGCTATAGCTAAAATGTTGCCGATGCACGAAAATATTAGCAGAATGATAAACATAACTATCACATAAAATTTGAACGCACTAATAAATTATTAGGGACTGTCATTCATTGTTTAGTGAGCCACTGTAACAACGCCCGAATGAAAAGATGCAGTTTGGGTTAGTTCTCGAAGAGAACTCGTTTGCCGGCAGTCGTTAGTAAATAATGTCACGCTGACTAAAGCAGAGCACAGTGCTTGTGGAGCTAGTTAGTCGTACATCGTGGAGAAGGTTTCCAGCCAACTACACTGACGAAGGCGCAGAAACAATGACGATTCCAGCTGCGTCTCTTTTTTTTTCCAGTGTCCTAGTCAGTGCCGTTGGCAGCAAACGCTCCTCATTATAAGGTAGCCAATGTACGTAATGGAGAAATAGTAATAAGCGTAGCCAGAGATGACACGTCAAGAATTTTCAAGGCTTTCAAAGAAAAAAAAAGGTTAAATCTGCTGCAAATGAATAGGGACATGATTTGCAGCAGATTGTATGTCGGCATGCATTGGTAACATCTCGACAACATGACCCACAAATACACGATGCTGGCGTCAGCGAAACCGCTTCAGGACGCTACGGACCTTACGAGTGAACCTGGCTGACAACTCGGTATTATCCACTACCGAAGCGTTTACCAGCGTCCGAAAAGCTGCGCGCTGCATAGTACTGCAAAGCCCTGCAGGATTGACATTATTTTGCTACTCTAAGCCAGCAATTCAACTGATCAGCAGTTAAAAAAGTAAGGAATTGTGGACAGCCCTTCGCTGTACGAAATAATTATTATTATAATTGTGGCATCCAAAGCCAGATAGACTGTTACACTGCAATAGATTTCCGGTCACCGTGGCATAGCTGGGAACGAAGGAGGGGACGCAAAAACAAAAGTGGCGCCCCGTAACGGTGCAGTCATATAATTACATTTTTTCCCCATATGAGACCAACGCTCTGCTGAGTAGCTCACTGAAAAATACCATGACACGATTATGGGATGACCTGAACATCGCCAAGTGCTCGTTTACAGACTTGACTCTAGTCATATTTTTCGGCTACCATTCCGGATAAGAAAAGACCAGGAAATAATGCTTCAGAGATAGCGGCTGGTTGTTGCGTACATACGATGGCATACGTTTATAAGATTGCAGAAGAGCAAAACTCCAACTGCAATGTGTGTCACACGTCAGGTACAATTAACCATATGCTGTGCGTGTGCCGTAAATACGTGACTGAAAAACAGTTACTAAAGGGCGTCATAGATGGTCTGGACTACCGACCTTTCTTGAGTAGAATCTTTTGGGTGCTTGGAAACATGCGCACGAACTTGTGCAGGGAAGCGTACCAGTCCTTCTAAGCGCGTTAACATCCCTGCTTTTCTTTTCCTTCTTGTTCCTTTCTTCCAACCAGTGCCGTTTAAGATAGCTATTCAGGTTTTTAAGCGATTGATTGAAGGATATGTGGGGTTCAATGTCCCAAAACCACCATATGATTATAGAGACTCTGTACTGAAGTGCTGCGGAAATGTAGACCACCTGGGGTTCTTTAACGTGCACCCAAATCTGAGCACACGGGCCTACAGCATTTTCGCGTTAGGTTTTTAAGCGAGATAATCTTTAGATGCTCATCTGTAGGGGATGTGGTATGGTACAAAATCATACCCATAGTACACGCACCTGGGCAGGACAGTGTGTGTACAGTGACTCGTTGTAGAATGTCACAATTACCTGTCCTCATACTTTTCAATCTGTTTTGCTCTCGTTTCTCCTTACTCCTGTGAGGAGTGCCGAGATAGAAACCTGCATTTCAGGCTACATGTGCTTCTTTCTATTGCTTATACAATTTCTTCTTCCTTCATAACATAAAACGTAAATGTGGCATAGCTCACTTGGTTGTCATTTGGCTTTTAAAGTTTCTTGTAGACATGTTTCTTGCAACGCTATTTTACTTATATACTACTAGATAGTAGAGGCTACTTTTATGTGACGGTCATTTTCTAGGTGAGCTCTGAACACGCACGCAATATATATATATATATATATATATATATATATATATATATATATATATATATATATATATAGATATATATATATATATATATATATATATATATATATATATATATATATATATATATATATAATATATATATATATATATACATATATAAGTATAAGATTTTTAGATGAATATGACTCTCTGGTCATGACATAATTAATGTCGCAGTGCCGCCGCGTACGTCGTCAAACCGTTTCCACCAGCCGTGTGGCACATGCCCGCCGGTGGGTATGCGGGTATCTGCACAGCGATTAACAGTTTATATCTACAGGGCTATAGAATAGACATGGGTATTCAAACGTGTAAGCTATAAAATAAAGATTACACGAGCAGCGTTGACCGGCAAGTGCAAAGTATAAATATCAGATCCTCAGCAGGAATTGAACCGCAGCATTTTGTGTTCTATTATATATATACCACAAAGCCACTCTTTTTAAATGTAACCTAATGTTCGTGCAACTTCAATTTTGGTATAGTATAGTGCTGGCTATCCAATTTTATAAACATTACAAATGTACTCCCATGATACAGCCATCACGTCTGGTTAACGTTAATTGTAGTTGAGCGCGAGTCGCTGACGTTGATAGCAGTGATGTAGCAGGGTTATAGGTATACGATCCTCACGAGCTACAGCGTTTCATATCAGCTTAGACCTTGCTTCGCCCAACGCATGCGTCACACAACGCACGCACTGGAATCTGGAATACTTCGCCCAACGTTGATTCCAATGGTACGTGGATTCTGCCGAATATCTTTATCACCCAGTCTTCAGCTTTTAGTTGATATGTCGCCATGGGTCATCATCTAGGGTCGAAAATGAGGCCTACTATTTCGGTAATTCATGAGCCTTCTAAAGCAAAATTTTGCGCAGATCAAGGATCTTAGGCATGCATGCAAAGTGTGTTTAAAAAGGTTCTTTAGCTGATCGGTTCTCCGAAACGTTGAAGCTCGGAAGTCTTGGTGTAGTTTTAGCAATATTTGTAGGCCTCAAGCTACGCAGAACTGCTTCAACGCCATCAATTGACGCAGACGTAACGAAGCATAGGTAGCTACTCAACTGCTCTGCTGAAAACGGGCAGCTCTCCGTACCATACCCGACAACTTCCCTAAAAGTTTCCGGGTATGGTGAGGAGCGGGAGCATTTGAATCGGTCGGCTGATTGATATCTCCCGCAAGTGCTTTTAGGGGGGCGATGCATGATGGCGCAGCAATGTCTCCGCGAATATGTCTTAACGTTGGGGTCGTATTCATGTCAGACTAAAACCTCGAAGGGCTTCGATTTGGATGTGCTTTCAGTAAAAGTTATTATAGTACCCTTAGAATTGACTTCAAGTTTTATATTTCAATACTCCCACTCCCTCTCGCCCAATTCTGCTTTCCTACTGTTACAGCACCCCAACCAGCTGTGACCACCGTTTGATATATCAAACGGTGGTCAAATATAATAGTCGTAGCTGGTTGTGGTACTCTATAGAGTACCACAACCAGCTACGACCATTATATACATGATAACACATTCAAAAAAACATCAACTCATACACAACATAGACCTTGCAGCGCACCAAATAATGCACACACGCCAAGAATTATGCATTAGGGGCCATCTATGATTGCGGTAAAATCAAATATTTTATGCGATGAATGGTTATCACGTTTGTTCTGTGATCGCTGAAGGTTGCTATACCGTCGGTCCTCGCCAATAAGCGATGATAGATTATCTGACCTACTGTATGCAAAGGGGGGTATACCTTGGTTTAAGCAAGGATGAGTAGCCGTTTTGTATATTTTATTCAAACTGGCCTCGTATACTGAGCTTCTTATTGAGAAAATAAACTTCGGTGGAAACGTGCAGTTTTAGAATAAATATTTTTTTTTATTTGGCACTGTGAAGATGTTATAATAACGGTAAGCGACTACACTGAAACACTTGTGCACGCTTATAATTGAAGCCAATGCGGCAATGCGTTGAGAACGCCCTAGCGGCCCTTCAAAGGGTTTTTGGAAGTCTAATTCATACGAACCACAGACGCTATATAAAGCGCAGGCTTACCGGACAGAAAAGGCGCAACACCTAAATGTACATGGATTTTGAGTTCGATGTTTTCGCACCCTTCCAGCACTTTCAGAGAAACGCAGAGAGCACAATGCAAAACTGAATAACCCCTGCAGTATATCGCAGCGACTCTTGGTATTGGAAGGTGTTTCAAATGCTGATATTTAAAGTACGATTCAAGTACGAGCAACTTGAGGCAGCTTACGCCTAGTCGTCTCCTCAGGTCACGTTTTAAAGGTATAGTGAAAGCAACCGATCCAAAGTGACGGAGTCGCTTGAAGTCGGTTGCTGTTCACTGGTCTAGAGTTTGCAGGAGCATGATAATATGTAACTCACTTTCTACAGCCCAAATGTCAAGAGTTCTTAGTGCCGTTCCAATCTTCATGAGAGACCCAATGCAGCCCGGAGAGAGACGTGGGTCGTAGATGAGCTCGCTGGCCAAAGGATAGAACTCACGCGTAGCAAAACGCGTCATTCTCTCGAGGATGTCGTTGAAGACTTGCTCTGCACGGTCCGGCTTAGTCGTCGTCGTTGTCGACGAAGTGGTGCTCCTCGTAGTGGCCAACGTCGAATTCATCATGCTCACTTCCATATCCGCGGAGACTAGGCCCACTTGAGCCTGGGCCCCGGGCCATTGCAAGGCTGTAATAGCCGTAACTAGCAGCAGCCACTGCAAACTGTGCAACCACGTCATATTCGGAATCATGGTCCTTCCACTTGGAACAGTAAACGAAGGATTTCAAAAATGGTCACCGGCACCGCAGAGCCACCACCAATTCGGTTTCGGTTCTGTGAAGCGGCGGATGGAGTCATGAAATCGCACCAACTGACGAGCTTTGTATGATGTGCGCTGAGCACCTGGAGCTTTTGAACTAATTGATTCGAAAGTTGCAGTGACGCAATGCCGCGTTGGATATAAAGGAAACATTGTGCAAAGCGTGGGAAGCAGGCGATACTCGACGAACTCTTTTCACTGAGCATTTTTTTTTCTTTCGTGGTGACTTCCTTCTTCACCGTGTAAGAGTCTGTTTCCCACGATTCTACATCGATACTGCGATGTGTTACAAAGTCCTTTCTCGTGTTCCGAGTAAAGCATCTGCGAGTCACAAATTTTTATATTTAAAGCAAGTCAAGTGTTGCAGCTTTAATTTGATTATAACACCACACGTTCAGCGGCTACTAGGTTGTATGCGTTGCTTCTTCAAGCACTTAATTAAAATTGGGTACTGTTAACTGACCTAAAAACGGTGCTATTACATTATTTTGGCTTTTTGTCTTTAAATTCTAAATATAGTCTTGTATTGCTAATGCTTTTTACCTTTCGAGACGTTCAGTTATTGTTTCACTTTTATCGTTGTTCTTATGTTCGAGATATTCTTGATTAATGTTGGAATATGGAAATGAGACTGTCAACAGCCACCTGAAGAGAAAAATCGAAAAAATTGTGGAAGATGACCGAGGTTTTCTTGTTTGCTCTACAAATTCATGGCATTATGTAATCACGTCGTTACGTAAATGGTGAAAATTATTCATGTTGATTCGAGATTGAAGATAAAAGAAAGCAACGCTGAGGGTGAATATTCAGTTATGCAATCAACCAATTGAGCGCTTAGATAGCACTGTGTCGCAAGTTTATAGCACCCTACATAACGCAACAAGAAGCATTGCCTGCAACCAATGATAATGCTTCACCAAGCGAAAATTTGCATGGTTGTAAAATGTCTTTGCAACGTATTGGTAATATTCACGATTAAAATGGCTTCTATGGCTCGCTTAAGTAATTTTTTTCTAGGTACGTGTCCTGAATAGAACAATTTCCTGCAAGTGATACGCTTTTTTCTAACTTGTGGAATCGTTAGTGATGGTATAGAAGTATTATGCCAGAGAAGTGTTTTTGGTAGAGATAGTCAATGAATACTTCGATGATAGTTAAGACTACAGAATGCAACGACAGGTGGGTTGGCACAAATAAATCACTCGACGTGGTCGGCAAAACAACAGACGAAAGGACAGGATGACTCATACACGTCATTCCTTTCATGTAATCGTGCTTCTTGTGCTAAAATATTTATTATTTGACATGTAACGACTAGTGCAATAAACACTGCCACCAATTCCGACGTTTGAGTTTGCTAATTATTTTATTTGCTTTCTACATACTAATGGAACTTTCACTTTTTGACCACGTGGCCGTTGTGGCTGAGAAGTGAACCCACATTCTGAAGATTTCGAGCGCATCCATATCGCTCATGAGCTACCGTGGGAAATGCGAATGCACCGACGTGGTGCTGTAAATTATTTAAGAAATATTTGAAGAAGCACCAGTTTCGAGATGTTTGCTCTCGAACTTTATGAGAAGGTGGACTGATAAGCACACTACGTTTTGCAAAGCACTTCACGCGGGAGGTTTTTCTGTGAAAATATAACATGAAAAAGCCGAAGATACTCTTTAAGAAGTTTCGAGAAATTCATCTTGAAACTGGATCTTCGAAAAGAATTCCTCCTGCTCTAGCATGCCATCACCATAGAGCGAAGTCTGTAGAAGCCATTATGAAATTTGTCTTCACAAGTCATCTCTACAGAGGGCAACGTGTGCGTTATGGAAGGTTTGCATGGCAGCAGTCTTCCCCACGTGGTTGAAGACATTGCGTTTTTCGTGATTGACAAGTGATGTCGTATACCGCACAAAAGTCTGGGACATTTTGTATGTTATTGCTCTCTCCCTTTACGCCCACGTTTTTTACTTTCGAACTCCCCCATCCATTTCGCCACTGTAGGATGGGTAGCATACTGGTTATTCTGAAGATGTTGACCTTGCACTTTCCTTCTCGACTATTACCTTGCTTCTCACCACATGTGGAGGCTTGCACAATGGTATCGAGAATAAAAGCGATGTTCATTCGTGGTTCACGTGTAAGCAATAATGTGTAAGAGGACGCTCTCCTGCACATCCTCATTGATCAGTATATTGCCAAGCAATAATTGTTATGGTACAGCTGCCTCATCAAAATAATTTCACTATTCACCTATTATTATTACGTTTTTTGCGGAAGATCGGTGCTTGTATTGAAAACTAACTGGCTTTAATTCTTCAACAGCAGAGATTTTCTGGAGGTAATTTACTGTGAAAATAGCGCAAATATAGATTACTAATTGTAACACTGGTTATATCCACGTTTAGTATTGTCTTCGCTGGCAGATTTGCCTAAAAGAGAACGCAATTTGTATTCATTCTTCCATGTTTCACATTTCGTGTGCTATCAGTGTGGTATGACGCTGCGGCAGTACGAAATACGTTAAAAGTATCTCTTAGTACACAGTGCACGTTTTTGCATCCACTCAACTGCCGACCAAACACAGTGTACCCCTTTTCTTTTTTACTGTTGAAGACTGCTCCGTCTTAACCGTAACATTTAACTATGCATCCGTGATTTGAGCTCATAAGATTATTATTGCCAACACACAAGTTTCAGCTTAAGCGTTTCTACCTAGAATGGAAATCAATTCAATGTGTCTCTGGCGTATAATAGAAAAAAAATAGACATCCGTTGCCTCCAGTAACAAAACTAACATCGTCTTCTCACGAACCTTTTTTTTTTTTCAGGGTAAAGCTGGTGAGCTGAAATCAAGAAGAAATGGACATGGGCTGGGCACGTATAGTGCGTAGGAAGGATAACCGCTTGTCATTAGGGTAACTGACTGAATTCCAAGAGAAGGCGAATGCGTGAGGGAGCGACATAAAGTTTGGTGGGCCGATGAGGTTAAAAAGTTAGCAGGTATAACATGACGACAGAAAGCAAAAAAAAAAACGGACTTTATTGGTGGAACACAGGAGAGGCCTTTGCCCTGCAGTGGAAGTAGTCAGGCTTATGACAATGGTGGTGATAATGAGAACATATAGTCTCACTAAAGCTCAGTTGCTATAAGGCTTCCAGGAAGAACTCCGCGTTTCAAACGATCGTGTTGACATTCTGACTTCTCAGAAAACAGACGATAAGAATATTGCGACGTCTTCCGAGGAAGTATAGTTCACAAGGTGTTTTGAAAATGGAAACTTTCATAATGTTTATAAAGATGTCCACTTCGTGATAGTTTAGAGACAGATGTTTCTCTTTGTCTAAAACGTAACAACAGTGTGCTAGCTTGCATATTCAGCTTGTGCTGCGCTAACTATGAACGTATAGAAGAATGATAACAAAGTTTACTGGGGCCGAACTCACTTATTATGATTTCATTTGTCTTACAAAGGAGGCAACGTCACATATCAAGCAAATGCAGTTACCCAGCGTTCAGTGTTATAAATTTTATACCGTGCAGCCTCCACATTATGCCTGCAAACTATACTTTTGGCCCATTGGTCTTTATGTTATTGCGGTTAACAGACATTAAAACCTCGGTTACCCTCATTCTCGTTAAATGTTTTTTGAAAAAGAAAAAAAATATTAAGAGTTTATGGAAGGCAGTATCAATATTCAGTCATACAACTAAAGTTCTCCGTTAAAGAACAAGAAAAAATAACTAAAGATATGTATCAATAAATAGCTTATCTTATAATTTACGTACTGTAATAACTTCCATCGCACTGACGACAAAAATACGTTCACTAAGGGCCATTCCACGCGCTACCCGCACAGTCGCAACACACGTGCCGGCAAACCTGCCGCTCCCAAGCAGAGGGTGAAAGAGCGTCGCCAATTGGCCTATTTGTCCCCCATTTACGTGCGGCGGGGGTCCCGGCACGTGCGTAGTGGTTGTGCGGGTAGCGCGTGGAACGGCCATAACAGCGCTACACAGATAACACCGGGATGACGTGAAAAGTCATTGACACATAATCAATTGGGGGCAGCTGTAGCTATGTAGCAAGTGAGTGATGATGAACTAGCTCTTTCTAGTGCATTAGCTAGGTGTTTAGATTCGTAAAGCTTCGTTAACGCATTGTAAAAGAGCGGCAAGAATATTGGGTAGACAAGAAAATGTTACAATTGCAGGTTATGTCTTTCTCAGTTTTTAAACAATTAAAATGCTTAGCGAATTGTTCCTTGTAAGTCAATCGCCGAAAACTATCATTATCTTAAAGACTATGAGCTACGGAAGTTGGTTGAATAGCACTACTCACCACAGGTCCGATAAAATGAAAAAAAAAACAAGAGTTAATGGCTGCAAAGCAACGGCGGTGAGCCGGAGACGCCGAGTACGCACAGCGAGAGAATACTGGACATTTGGGAAGGCAACGACGGCTGCTACATTGAGCTCGTAGCAATGACCAGCTAACGCCAAAGATGGCGTGCCCATAAATCTACGTACGGGATGTGCGAATACTTAATTTCAGCTCAAGTTTCTGCCTCTGGAGTTTGGACATCTGTGTCGTATCTGTGACTCCGTGGTTTAACTCAAACGCCTCTGCGCTGAGGATCAACGTAGAAACAAGCTAGCATCACAAAGCCTTGAAGCTACCTGAAAAAAAACCTGGAATTT